GTCAAAAGGCTTATATAATCACCGCAGAATAAGTCTTAAAAAGTTATCAGAGGTGCAACAGCACGTTCATGTATGTTTTCGATACAGAGTGCAAATGGCTGTGCATTTATTTGTGTTTTTAACTCGATGGGAGTGAAATGAAACTGTCTGAATCCGAAGCTGTGTGTGTTGTCTGTCTCCTCTCTTCCCCCTCCGCTCGCAGTGCACCACGCCCACTTTTTTAGCATTTTTTAAAACTGTGGTGAGAATTAACCAGTGCTGAAACAGGGGGTTTCATGACCCTTTAACAGTAATTTACCAGTAAAGACTGTATGTGTGAAAGGGGCTAGAGAGTGAATTTGCATTTTCTTTCAGTCCGTCTGCTGTTTTTGTTTTGCACAAGTGTCTTAGGTAGCATAGTTTTTCCAAATCTAAGGTCAGACCATTCTGGTTTTGCCTTCTTTATCTTGAAATTATACAATCAAATTCAGATAAAAAACAACTACTCGTGCTATGTGTGTAGCATGTTTGTTTGGATCATGATTAAAATGCAGTGGTTACCTCTAATTTCAAATGGCTACAGATATTTTTGTTTTAAGACAGTTTGCCTGTTACAGAGCAAATAAACAACAAATAAATTTGCTTAAAAAAATATCCCAGGATCAAATATTGATCCCTTAATCAAAATGCTAATTTCTGACATTTTATTTTATTTCTTCAGGAGTTTTTGGCTGAATCTTGTCAGAGTCAGTTGGACGTTGTTCTGCCTAAACTGTAATGAGATGCACATCCCTAATGAATTATATAAGGCTATTTTGTCATTCATAATTGGAGTCTGATAGTTCCTCCCCCTTCTCTACCTAATTAAAGCTGCGACAGTTGAGTGCATGAAGTGTCCAACATTCCACACTTTCGGTTATTTAAGTGCATCATACAGGTATTTAAGGTGCACTTTTTCTTTTTGAAATTTTCAGTGTGAATGCACTACTTTATACTACAAAACGTCATAGAATAGTGCATAAGTACGCGATTTGGGAGGCACCATTTGACTTCCAAAAACAGCACAGAGTAAATGCGTCATCTGAATCGAAGGAGAGTGTTTGTTTTTGCTTTTTTAATAAGAGTTATTACTGAGTATAACCGTTTTTACAGCTCTGTGACACAACCCATCAAAAGGCTTATATAATCACCGCAGAATAAGTCTTAAAAAGTTATCAGAGGTGCAACAGCACGTTCATGTATGTTTTCGATACAGAGTGCAAATGGCTGTGCATTTATTTGTGTTTTTAACTCGATGGGAGTGAAATGAAACTGTCTGAATCCGAAGCTGTGTGTGTTGTCTGTCTCCCCTCTTCCCCCTCCTCTCGCAGCGCACCACGCCCACTTTGATTTGATTAAGGGATCAAATATTGATCCCTTAATCAAAATGCTAATTTCTGACATTTTATTTTATTTCTTCAGGAGTTTTTGGCTGAATCTTGTCAGAGTCAGTTGGACGTTGTTCTTCCTAAACTGCAGGACGTCACACGCTGCCTCTGCGATTTACTTTCATTCTCCGGGAAGGTTCGTATAAAACCTCCTTTCACTCTGATATATTATTGTTGTTACTGAGCTGATTGAAAAATATGCTGTTCTCCAGACGTTCCCGTCCACAGGCTCCTCCAGCGCTCCTCCTGCTCCAGCACCTCCTCGGGCCATCCACATACTGAAGGAGCAGAACCGGCTCCTCACACAGGTCTCACTTTGCTTTTTTTTTACACACCTGATTCAGATCATCAGCTCATTAGTAGAGAGATTCATGGACTCAGCTGTGATGGGAAACCACTTATGCTTCATTCACACTGCAGGAAAATGTAGATTTTTTTGCTCTTAAATAACTCATTTTTTTTTAATTTCATAACAATGTGAACAGCACAAACCACATGGAATCTGATTTTTACGATTCTGATTTGGGCCACGTTTATATGTGGTCCTAAATCCGATTCAGGTCAGATGTGTTGCAATGCGACTGCAGTCTGAACAGTCATATAGACAGTGTGGTGTTGTTTTAAGGTGTATTACAGTGACAGCTCTATACTAGGTGTTGAACGACTTCTGATTTTTTGAAGTCGACTTTTATGTGATGAAAGTCGAGTCGAAGTCGACTAGTCGCTGATGACGTCATTAATGAACAAATAAGTCTGAAGCTGTGACAAACACCTTGCGCACAGCTATGGCATATGACAGCGCTGCCCACATGGCTGTTGCTCCTATAACAGCTTTTTTATCAGTTCTTTTGTATTTGGGTCGTTATATTTCTCACATATTTCTGCTCATTCTAAATCAGATACAGATAAAGTAGCACAGTAAAGATTACATTAATATGAATGCATTAGTGAGAGTGATTGCGTGTGTGAATTAATTCTACCTGGCAGCGTCTCTCTATTAGTAGTGAAGCTGTGGAATTTAGTTATTAAGAAATAAATGCTTGAACTTTTCAGTTTCTAAGCTATTTTATTGAGAAATCACAGAACAGTGTTGACAATACATTTCCGCGTTGAATGATTCTGTGCATGTGATGTACGCGCTACTGTCTGTAGCCTATGTGTGTGTGTTACAGTGCAGCAGCGCATTAGATTAGAACGGCGATTAACTTACCTGTACAATAAGCTGTTTAAAACGTGCATTCTCCCGTTCAATTTCGAGCATCCAGTAATATAATCACATGTCTTGTGGAGCGCTTTCAGAATATGCATTTATTTGTCATTTGAACTGTTTGGAAACGGAGCGTAAATGTGGAAGTCCTTCAAAGATTTCTTATCCTGTTGCGCCCTCTATAGGACCAGCGACTAGTCGACGTCAAGCTTAAAGCGTCATGGCAGAGCATTGAAGTCGACTAGTCGATTAGTCGGTGCAACCCCTACTCTATACAAGATAAACTTACAGGGTTGTATGGTAAATATTTAATAACTTGACCTCTGTCTCCTCATCTTCGTCCTCCTTATCAAAGTCATCCACCTGCTCACAAATTCACTGCCTTTCACGTCACATCAGCTTATAAATGAACACATAAATGCTTACTTCATTGGCCTCAGTGTTTACTTCCGTATGACAGCGCACTTCATGCCGTCTTGTTATCGTTCTTTTGCACATGCGGCTCAGTTCAGGACTGTCATTCATTCACACTGGAATCTGATATTGGCCACATTTAAAAATGACAATGTGAACAGCCATACAAAAATTTCGGATCTGAGCAATAAATTTAAATTGAGCACTAATGCTTGCAGTGTGAACGCAGCCTTAGACATGCAAATAAAACAAAGATTGAAAAAGGGTTTAACCCTCTTGGTATCGTTCGGTCATTTTAGCCTGAAAAAAAACGTTTAGAATTTTTCAAAATTGCTACTCCAACCCTCTATGGACACCTTGGCAATTGAATCGCCATTGGCTAGTAAATTTTTTAGTTTACCCGCCAGAATCGCCAGACTATA